AAGACTCAGTAAAAAGACATCAGTGGAGCAAATATTAGATGCTGGGTTATATGAGAAGTGGAATTTATCTAAAAATATTTTTTAAGCTAATTTTATATATTTACTTTCTGATTTCCTTACTTTTCCTTTCCTTCTTTTTGCCATATAATTATGTAGTATTAATGATGGAACCACTTGATTGCTCAAGTCCCTTCATCTCCATCTACTACCAGGAAACAGAACTAAAGGGGAAGAGCAAGAGGGGTGAATGGAAGAGAACTAACATTTATTGAGCTCCTACCATGTGTCCTGGTAGGCATTTGAGTCATTCATGCATTTTATTCTGTAGGTCAGCAGGTTTTTTGGAGTGTCTCTGTGTGCCAGGCTCAGTGCAAGCCACTGTGTGTAGAGCAGTAAACAAAGGAGACATTATTATGACTGCCGTCATGGAGGCTCAGAAGCTGTTGGGGAAGGCAGACACTGAAGATGTACATAAATACATAACGTCAGATTTTTAAGTGCTATGAAGGAAATGAACAGGACATGTGAAAGAATGTAGAAGGGCTTCTTTCCATGGGATTATCAGTGAAGGTTTCTCTGCGGAGGTGCGGAGGTGTCCTTTGAGCTGAGCTTTGAATAATAACAATAGGAACAATCATCATCATCCTTACAAGAGTTCCCTGGTAAGTAGGTCTTATTGTTATATCTTACATATAAGGAAACAGAAGAACAGAGAGATTAAGTAACCTGCCCAAGGCCATCTATTAAAGGATGCAAAGGTCATGGGAAAGAACCCTCTGGATATAGTGAATAGCACCTGCTATGGCCTTGAAAGTGGGAGAGGCAGGCAAGGTGTGTGTATGCACACCCACACTTGCTCTTCCCCTCTCTTTCTCTGTCTCTTCCTCTTCCTCTTTCCCTTTCCCTTTCTTTTTTTCTTTCCCTCTCTCCCTCTCAGGGCCCTTCTAGAAGGCCAGTGTAGCTGAAGCACGATGAGCAGGCAGGGGAGTGGGAGTAGATGATGATGGAGATATAGGCAGGGCTCAGATCATGCAGTGCTTTGTTGAACACTGCAAGGAATTTGAATTTTATTCAAAGTATGGGACCACTTATTGAAGAAATTTAAATGGGTGAATATGATCAAATTTGAGTAAAAAAAAATCTAACCTGTTTTTTGAACAAATTGAAATAGGTAAGACTACAGGTCAGTGTGGAATCTGTTAGAATAGTCCAGGTGAAAACTTACGGTATTTTGGTGGCAGTGGAGATGGAGAGAAATGAGATGGTTTTGAAATACATACTTTTCAATCTTCAAAATGAGATAGAACTCATAAAAAATTCACCATTTCAACCATTTTAAAGTGTACAATTTTTTGGTTTTTAGTATATTACAGAACATTTCCATAACCTCCAAAGAAACCCCATACTTCTCAGTTCCCATTCCCCTCACATCCTGGCAATCACTAATCTACTTCTCTCTCTGTAGATGTGCCTGTGCTGGACATATAAATAGATTCATACAATAGGTGACCTTTTGTGTCTGGCTTCTTTGTCTTAGCATGATGTTTTCAAGGTTCATCCCCATTGTAACACATATTAGTACTTCATTCATTTTTATGGCTAAATAATATTCCATCTGCAGATTTTGTTTTGTTTTTGTTTATCTATTCATCAACTGGATGGGCATTTGGGTTGTTTCCATTCTTTAGCTATTACGAATATTGCTGCTATCAATACTTAATGTACAAGTTTTATGTGAACACGTTTTCATTTCTCATGAGTATACCTAGAAATGGAATTGCTGAGTCATAATGGTAACTCTGTGTTTTATTTTTGAGAAACTGACAAACTGTTTACCACAGTGGCTGCATCATTTTACATTTCCACCAGCAATGTATGAGGGTTCCAATTTCTTCATGTCCTCACTAACTTTTCTTATTTTTGATTATTTAAGGAAAAAAGTATAGCTATCCTAGTGGGTATGAAGTGGTGTCTCATTGTGATTTTGATTTGCATCTCCCCAGGAACTAATGATGTTGAATATCTTTTCCTGTGTATTTTCGAATTTGTATATTTTCTTTGAAGAAAAGTCTATTCAAATGCTTTGCCCATTTTTAAACTGGGTTGTTTATCTTTTTATTGTTGAGTTGTAAGTCTACTTTGTATAATAGGGATAGTAGATCTTTGTTAGATACATGATTTGCAAATAATTTCTCCCATTCTGTGGGTTGTCTTTTCACTTTCTTGGTTGATGGTGTCCTTTAAAAAGTTTTTAATTTTTATTAAGTCCAATTTATTGCTTCTTTTGTTGCTTTTGCCTTTGGTGTCATATTAAAGAAATCATTGCCTAATCCAGGGTCATGAAGAATTTATACCTGTTGCCTTCTAAGAGTTTTATAGTTTTAGCTTTATATTTAGGTATTTGATCCATTTTGAGTTACTTTGTATATGGCATGTGGTAGGGATATAAATTCATTCTTGTACTTATGGCTATCCAGTTGTCCAAGTACCATTTGCTGAAAAGACTATTTTTTCTCCATTGAAATATATTTTTGAATTAGAAACACTAGGACTGACTAAGACAGTAGGTAGACAGTATGAGGGAGAAAGAAGAATTGGGATGCTTGATTTAAGCTACTGGGTTAGTAGTGGTAGCATTTGCTGAAATGAGGCAAGCTGTTGAGATTTGGGGTGGGGGAAAGTAAGGCATAGTCAGAAGTTCAGATTTGAAGTTAAGCTTAAGTTGTCTGTGACACTTTTCTGTATAGTATGTAGATAGTTGGGTGTATGAATTTGGAATTCCAGGGAGAAGTTTGAGGTGGAGATAAGATTTAGGTGTCAGCAGGCTATCGATTGTATTAGAGATTTGGCACTGCTGAGGTCACCTAGGGAAAAAGTGTACAGATAGACAAAAGAGAGCCCAATCTAGAGGCCAAGGAATGCTAACAGAGACTGTGGAGGAGTCTGCAAAGGAGACTGGGAAGGAGAGACCAGAGAAAATGCAGAAAAATCAAGAATGTATGTCATGGAAGCCAAGAATGGGAGAGGTTGATGATGCAGGGAAAGGTGAGACTAGGTGAAGGAGTGGAGTCCTTTTGAAGGTGAGAGCTGAAGGGACCCAGAACACAAGTGGGAGAGATTGATCTTTATGAGATGAGTGATACTCCAGTGTAATGAGTGATACTCCAGTATAATGGAGAGAATGGGGAGAAGATGGTTAAATCCAGGTTAAGTTTGTGAATTTAAGAATGGGAGGATAAGAAAGTTCCTTTCTGAAAGTTCTTTTTTTCTTAATGAAGAATAAGAGTTGTTCTCATCTGCTGGTATTACAGTAACAAAAGACAGGAGCTGAAGGTCAAAGGGGGCTCATAGGAAGTTTGAGGAAAGAAGCAGAAGCATGCAGTAGTGGTCTTGGTGGGTTGCAGGTTGGATCAGGAGATACAATAGGCTTGGTATACAATGTTGAGTGTCTGTATGAAGTTTATCATTACAAATTTAAAGTAAAAACAATCTTTTTAGTTACATGATTTTTCTCCAGCGATGTTTATCTGGGGAACACAGAGGGTTGAGTTCATCCATGGTTGGTATTTTGCCAGTTAAATTCCATGGAGGAAAAGAGTGTTAAAACTGTATTTGCAAAGGAATGATTATAATGATGGATCATGCAATCTGGAGGGTGGTATTGGGAAGTAAGTGTGACTGATAGATAATTAAAAGGTGGTAGGTCAGTAGATCATAGGTTGGAGAATTTAAGGGATGATTTAAACAAATGTGGTGACAGTATATCAAAGTATGTTCAATGAATGGATGTTCTAATTTGAGATTCTGAGGTTTGTGCAGCTATCTGGTGTACCTTCCACAGTAAGTGATTTTAAGTGGAATGGTGGAGCAGGCATTGGGATGATGTGGTCCAGGGACTAAGACACTTGGGTTTTGGACAGATTGTTCCTTTAGATGAAATTGCCAAGAGTGGTGACAGGAGTTGAGGGTGGGAAGAAGACAGCCAAGAGTTCAAACCTTCTGTGAGGGGGAAGAACACTGGAAGGCAGGTGGATAACAGAAACCAAAAAGTACCTGGATGGCTTGAGTCTCAAAGGAACAAGGATTTTTGCAAGAAAGGAGAATTAATTGTTTGGAAGTAGCAGGGACAAGAATACCTATCCTACCTCCTTGTCTTAAAGACTTGGAGGTTAAAAAGAAACAGGCCAAACCGCTTTAGTCTTCTGGACAGCAGAGGAAGCTGTATCTTCAGTGACCAGCAAGTTTCAATGAAGGTAAAGAGGTGGAGGGAATGTTTTTCAAAAAGAGAATGATTTGTGGAAATGTGTCAATCAGTGCAGGAGTTCCAGAGGGGAGTGGAAGGTGGGGAGGGAAGAGGATTGGGTAGGTGTGTGGGAGGGATTGGGGGGATATGTACAGCAGTGTAGGTGTGGTGGTTAGGGTGATAATGGAAGACTCGGGACCCTTGAAATTTGGTTCTGATGACAAAGCAACCAGATGTATTTAATGGAATTAGCCCCCCATGGTCTTTTGAGAAGGCAAGCCCTTGGTTCCAGGGTTGTAGACCTAAAGTTTTCCTCAGGGAGTAGGGCAGCCTCCATGCAGCTTATTGCAAGGTCTCAAGGAGTGATGTGGCACTTTTCAGGGAGGGAGGCTGATGCCAAGGTCTAATGGTGACTTTTCCAAGGTCACACTAAGTAGCAAAGAGTCTCCTGACCCCAAACAGCAGGTCTGCCCACCACTCCCATTTGTTCGTTTTGGTTGTGCTCATTTACTTACCTGCTGGCAGAGCTGGATTCATTAGACCATTAGAAAATGAAAATTAAAGGAAAAAAAAAAAACCCTTAAAACTAGGCAGTTTTTCCACTTTAGGACTATTCCAGGCTCAAAGCAAGTCTGCGCGAAAAGGATGAGAAATGGCTGTGCTGCACGCCATTTGTGGAGGTCACCTTCATTGTGACCTGGTAGGGGCTGCATGACCTTGACTGTGCTTCACGCTCATGTATGTGCTCTGTCCACAGGGTCATGTAGGCACAACAGCAACCAAGAAGATCGACGTCTACCTCCCCCTGCATTCAAGCCAAGACAGACTGCTGCCAATGACTGTTGTGACAATGGCCAGCGCCAGGGTGCAGGACCTGATCGGGCTCATCTGTTGGCAGTACACAAGCGAAGGACGGGAGCCAAAGCTCAAGTAACCTTTCCTCTTTTTGGCTGTTCTAGTTTCTGGCCGTCTCCTAGCCACCCATGCTGCATTCTGGGCCCGGCCAGTCTTTCTAGGCTTTGGCCTGGAAACCAGATGTCCACACTGATCCAGCTCTGGTTGCTCCCCAGATCGTCGGCCTGTGGATCTGAGGCTTATCTCAGAGAATATGCCTGCAAAATAGATGGATAAAATTTGTGAATCCAGACATGAAGAAATGTATTTTAGTAGTTTCCAAGCACTTTTATGATGTTTGCTGATAAATGTGGCTTTTAGGGTGTAGGGGTAGGGAACTAATGTTTACTACGCACCTACCATGAGCTGGGCACTTCAGACCTGATGTCTTGTTTAATTCTTCAAGCTCCCTGTGAGGAGAACATTATGATCCTCATTCTGCAGAGCAGGACACTCAGGGTCAGAGAGTTGGTATTTGCTTAAGGTTGGCAGAGGTCAGGATTTGATTCCCAGGTTTTTCTATTATTTCCTTTTGGTCTGAATTACAGTTTTCTTTGTTATCAGTCAGTGGCTCAATTTCTCTCTCGATCACTGCCTCTATTCCTTATTAATATATTAATTTCTTAATTATATTAGTAGTCCTTATTAATATAATTTTTAATTATGTTAAAAATGTAGTCTTTGAAAGTAGAGCCTCTGTGCCTGTGCATCGTAACTGGGACTGTAAAGTGCTTTGCTGCATTGGCTCTCCCGTGCCCAGCTTTCCTATCTGATAGGCCTCTTCTCTGTGTGCTCGTCTCAGGAATAGGGCTTGGGATACAACGAAATGTAGTGGATGCCTTCATTTTGGAAATAGAGTCTCATGGAGACTTTCTCTTCTCACGTTTTCAGAATTAGAATAATCCAGTTTGCTGTTTTTCTTTAGGTATGTTAAATTTGCCCTTAAAATTATTCTTTCAAGTTATTCACATTGCCCTCCACTTTGCCCAAATAAATGGTAGATATAATCTTTATTGTTTCTGTGGCAATAGAAGGTCTTCCCAACCAAGCTACTACGAAGACTCTTGAAAAGAGTTCAGTCAGCAGCTCTGCTCAAGGCCAAGCTATGGTGTTGTCTCTTTTCAGCATAAAATGGAAGCAAAAAAACAGGAAAGGAAGTCACAGTGCCAGTGACTTTATGTATGTTGTCTGAGTTAATCCTTAAAATGTTGCTTAGTGCAAATGCTAAAACCAAGAGATTCAAAGGAACTTGCCCAGGGTTGTGCAGCTAGTGAGAACCAAGACAACAGGTGAATTGTCACATACATTTCACAGATGAGGAAACAAACTTAGGTGCAGTAACTTTCCTGAATCATATGGTAAGTGGTAGAATTGGTATTTAAACCCAGGACTCTCTCACTCCAGAGCAGAGCCCTAGCCCTTCATTGTTACGTTACACTCCCTCTCATGGAACTCTGTTATAGGTGATAGTAAGATATTCAGTCCATACTTATTGCAGGCACTGTGCTGATCTTAACATACAGAAGTGAAACAGGCAATTCATGCCATCAAGGAGCTTACTATGTAAGGTGAACTGACAATAATACAGTGCAATGCCATGTAAAATCCGGTTCTTTGAGAAGTTCTGACCCCATATTTGGGATGAGAGTGGAGTCATGAAAAGCTACCTTGGTTAAGTGACATCTATACTGAAACCTGAAGGAGTAGGAAAAAGTGATGCAGAGAAGCTGAGAGGGTGTTCTAAAACAGGGAAGAGCATGAACTTCCGGTTGTGACGGCCCTTTAAGTTCTATATTCTGCTCCAAATGTATAGGAATGGTAAATTAAATATGTTATTGACATACTTGTACTTTAATAACAAAGTAAACGTCCTGGTGGACTAGAAACAGAGAAACAACCAAGTACAGAAATAGGCAAAGTGTGCTGGTAGTCGATCTTTCAGGGTAGTGCTTCCTAACACACATGCTGTGATGATGCATTTATGAGTGTGTGAAGTACTGATTTTTCCCAGGCTTCAGGGTAGCCAGGCAGGGCCTGGGGTGGTTAGAGCCCCCAGCCATCATTTCTGGGTAGGGAGCAGGCTCATCCATCCCTTGTGTGCCATACACAGACTTGTTTCTAAGTATGCCATGATGTCAGAAAGGAGTGGGGAACACTGCCTGAGGGTATGTTTCCTCATACATACAAAGTAACTTCATGCCTGGATGGGGACCTGGAGGAAGCCTTACTGCTGGAAACCAGGAGCTGGACTTGGACTGTCCTACCTATGAAAAGAAACTGAACAAAGCTGCCTGGGTCTGTGGCTTGTTTAAAGTTGTGTTTCTGAGGTGGCAGGGGAATAGAGATAAAGTATGAGCAGGACCTGGCCGTGACATGACTGGGTTTATAATATCCCTAGTGTTTCCTAAGGATGGGAACCCTGAGCTGCCGTGTCACAACTGGTTCTAGAGTGGAGCCTCTGCTTGGATGGGGATGAAGGATGGTGGCAGTATCTATAAAAGCATAGACTACAGGGAGGGTGAGAAAGGAAAGGAGGGAGAGAAAGAAGATGGACTGGCGATTTAAAATTCCCAGCAAATGAGTAAACTAGTACTAAAAATGATAATTATCAGGATATGAATTCATTTCCAATAAAATAAAATAAAGCAATATGAAGATTAATTTCAAATAAGTATGGTTAAAATCATCAAAAAGAAGAAGACATAATACCCATGGTAAACTCCTAGGAAGATGTCAAACAAAATCACACAGATGAGAATCAAGAGGTGGATTTAGAAAATAACCAAGTAAAGGTACCAGAAATAGAAAATGCAGTTATTAAAGTAAAATAAAAAATGTGTAGAATAAACTCTAGACTGGGCACAGTTAAAAAGAGGGACTGAATAAAGACAGTGCTAATTTATTCAACCCTGATGTATCACAGAGATACAAAGAATGAAAGATGGGTAAGTAAAGAGACATGGAGGAAAGATGGAAAGTCTCCATTTGTGAAGCAGAGAATGGAGGCAATAACTAAGAAGCAGTATTTGAAGGGATAATGCCAGAGAATTTCCCAGAATTGAATACAGATATGAATGAGTCTTTGTATTAAAAGCACAAATTAAATGGAAGCGTTAGGGATTGAGTTTGTTTTTCTCCGTTCTTGTCTCTGCTGCAATAAAGAATTGAAGGGCAGAGATACAGTAGCGAAGCAGAGTGAAAGTTTTATTTGAATACACTCAAAGGGAGGAGCGGGCTAGAGTTAACAGACAAGGGGGGAAGCTCTTTGAACTCTTGTTCAGCAGTGGGCAAATCTCTTGCTAACTCTTAAAGCTAGAGTCACTTGGTGTCTAGTATCTGCTTGAATCTGCATGGCATAGGATCTAAGCTTCTACTCTAGGATTTGGGGGAGCTGCAGAGCACTGGATGGAGTGAGATTATGTTCTGAGAACTTGTCAAAGGCAAAAAAAGTGACTTTTAGGCAGGCTACTAAAGAGCACGATTGTACAGCTGCAGTTCTGTCTGGGGCAGTCAGGCAGGCGATGGGAACTTGCTAGCCTGAATCAGGGCTCTCAGGAGCCTCACTCTACTTAACTGGAGTAGAACAGAGGCAGTGACACACTCAAAGAAAGGGGAGTGCGGGCAGCTTCAGAGAAGAGGCACCCCTAAGGAGAGTTTAGGGTCTGGGTTTTGTATCAATCACTTTTGGGGTAGGAATCAGCATGAGGCATGATGTATACAGGTGTCCTTTGAAGTTTTGTCTTAAGAATAGGGTTATTTAGGTGACTGTGTTAGTTTGAATTTAACATTCTTAGTCTACATAGGTTTATTTATACTTTCAGGGTCCGACTCTTGCTCTGGTTCAAAGTTAATTTGATTAAGGGGCTGAAAGAAGAGGAAGAACGGCATGTAGGTTAAGTTAAAGAATAAGCTGGGCTTTTTTGCAGGTCAAGTAGATTTTACAATGGTATGATTTAATTGGTACAGTGAAGACATGAGCTGGCTTGGATACTTTACTTGGGGAATGTTTGGATATTCTAAGTAACTCTTGGCCTTTGAAACTTCAACTAATTAACTCATTTTTACTTGGTTAACTCGTTGAGTCCCATTTAGTGGGCTCTACTGGCTTTATTCTCTTTCTACTTGCTCACATCTGTTTTCCTATCTAACAGGAAGGATAAACCTCAACAAGTAGTGCTGGAGCAATTGGACATCCACAAGCCAAAAAAATACACTATAACCTAGACC